ATCAGTTCCGTAGCCCCATCATAGAAGGCCACCAAATTGGTCAGGCAGGATTTCCCTTTAGTGAAGCCATGCTGGCTGTCAGCAAGCACCTTGTTGATTTTCATGTGCCTTAGCATGCCTTCCAGGAGAATCTGCTCCAAGATTTTGCCAGGCACAGAGGTGAGACTGACTGCTCTGTAATTCCCTGGGTCATCCATTTTCCCCTTCTTGAAAATGGGGGTTATATTTCCCTTTTTCCAGTCGTCGGGAGCTTCACCTGACTGCCATGATTTCTCAAATATGATGGCCAGTGGCTTAGCAACTTCATTTGCCAGCTCCTTCAGGACCTGCAGATGGATCTCATCAGGACCCATGGACTTGAGCACGTTCAGATTTTTAAGATGGTCTCAAACCAGATCCTCTCCTACACTGGGCCTCAGGTCTTAATTCTCACAGTCCCTGCGTTTGCCTTCCAAGACTAGTCGTGCTGGCAGTGTTTTGGGGAGTACCAGCACTAAGGCTGTTTCTTCTGTAAGGGATTGGGTTTTATCTTCCCTCTCCCACCTTTCAATTGGTGCATTAATTTTCCCATGTGCTCCTTGAAGTCCCAGTGAAACCAGGCAAGTCCATACACTGCTGTATGGCTTCTGTTGTCCTCAACAGGGGAAAAAAGCCCACAGCTGCATGATTATTGCCTGTGAAATGTTAGGTTCCCTTCCCTCTTTCTTCTGTGCATTGAACTTTTCCAATTCCAAATATAAATTATTTAAAATGGGTTGAGGTACTTAAGACATAGGACTGGGAAATACCTTTTGTGTCCACTCCTGTATCAGCACAACAGCTTTGTGAATTGGTTGAGCCATTCCTTGAAGCTAATCAAGTTTCTTTTCTCCACTAATCTTACTGGAAGGCTGAACCAGAACCCAGGTCTTTTGACACTTTATTTTAAAATCAGAAGCCTTTGTGCCTTTGTAGAAAATTTGCATCCTTTTCTTTCATCAACCATTTCTGAGCCCAAAGTGCTCATTTTTCCTGATTATCTTCTTTCAAAGTGTAATTGGTGAAACTGGTCAAGTATGTTCTGAGATGTCATTGTGTTGATGATCAAGATGAGTTTTTTTCAGCATCCACTGATAAATGTCTTCAGTATTTTTATGATGGATCTTTTGTGGGCTTGGTCGAGCCTGGATCCACCTCACCTGCACCAGGAGGGCCAGGAGGGCCAGTGACCTTCCACCAGTGTCCCACCAGTCTCTTAGCTTATCAGGGATGTTTCCCACAAGTCAGAAATACAAGGTGAATTATGTCTCTGTGCCTTAGGGTTGCATTGAGGCTTTTCAAAGGTGCACCATGCTGGTGGTCTGCAGTTTTAATGTAGGAGTGTGCCCACTGGGCTGTCCCCAGGAAAACTGTGGACTACCCAGTGAGATCCTACAATACATTGGTTAAATGAGTAATTTCTATTCTTCCATTAGAGCCTTAATTTCTGTAGTTAATCCTAGATGCATGATTTAGCACGTTATGCTATTAATTTGTGCCTTATTTTCCAATTCTGTGGGCCTAATATCCTGAACCCTCTCCATATTGTTGATGCTTCCCAGCTAACTATTAAAACTTGTCCCTGTGCTTTTATTTTTTGATTAAGTTTATTAAACCAAGCATTAAATAGAGCAGTTGCAGGTTGGCTTTCCTCCAGGTTCAGCTTTAGCCTCCATTCTCTCTTCCAGCATAGCCCATTATGATAAACTTTCAGTTCAGCCCCTTTAAAGGTCTGTGTTAATCAACGTTTTTTGCTGTCTTACTAATAGTTTCCTCTGTTGCTGCAAATGAGATGCTTTATTTTTTCTTAAGCTTTGAGTTGTAGAATCTGCCGTGTTGCTGTTGTCTTGGAAATAATTTATTCCAGCAAAGAACAGTATTGGGCTGGACTGGTGTGCTTTTTTGTAGGTACTAGTAACATGGCTGTCAGAAGCTGAAGATGCTGTTTGAGGTCCAGGGGATTTATTGGAAAGCGAAACTAAAGGCTACACTTGAATCTGGGATCTCTGCCCTGGGAAAAGATGGGAAGTGTTTACAGCTCTGAAGGGGGAATAAAGAAGAACTCTATTATGCAGTTTGCAAAACAGTAAGCAGAACTAAACTTCTTGTTTAATGAGAAGATATCTTGTGCGCAAAGCATCTACCCATTAGGATAACCCCTTAGACAAAACAGGTGAATGATGGGAATAAAAGCACTGAACTGACGAGTAATTGTGTAAAACCAGCACGTAAATGTTCTTGCAACATTTCTTCCCCTTGCAGAGGAGTTTTGAGCAGGGCAAGACTTAAGGCTCAGATGTTTTTACTAATGACTGACCTTAGCAAGGGAGGCATTTTGTACCTTGTTTGTACGTTCCTCACGGTGTGCAGTCTTTCTCTTCCTTCGTATTTAGGAGTTGTTTTGGAAAAAAAGCACTTGGAGGCTTTGCTGTGTATCTGAATCAAGTGGGAGCCTCAGGTTCCCCTGGGGGGTTTAATTCTGCAGCAGTTAAAACATTTGGGGAAGTTAGGCTGCAGGAATTAGTATCTCCTTTAGAGATAAAATGTTTTAACTTTGCCTAATTTGGGATTATTTTGGGGGGTTTAGCTAACTTCTGTACCTTGCAGTGGCTCTCAGAAAAACTGCACAATTCTGTTATTGGCAATGGGGCTTTGTCTAAAATCTGTGTGTAAAGGAAGAGTGGTTTGGTTTAAATTCCTTGGTATTTAGCTATTGCCAAATAAATTTCTTCACAGATGCTCTTGCCTATAACCATCTGTGCATTCCAATTATTTTCCGTTAATATTTTCAATTATTTCAAAATATAATCAATTCAATTATCTTTCATTAATTACATCTGATCTTGCAGAATTCAATTATTTTTCATGACTGATCAGTTTTTCATCAATCATTCACTGTCACTTGAAGCACTGAATGGAACCGGAACACTCTGTGTAGTACTTTATTTGAAGGTCCCCAAAATACACTTTTTATTTCAGTCAACACATTAACTCCTATTTCCCTTTGCATGGTCTGGCTTAGAGAGAAAACCCTCTAGACCTGCCTGACTCTGCCAGAAAAGCTCTTACACTTTGGCACCCTGTAGAGGCTCCTCCTTATAGAAAACACTCACTTCCTTAGATGACCACCACTAGTACCTTATTCTGACCTGACATATAAGAGCCACAGACTTTTCTGTCATGATTTTTTCCCACCAGCTGCAAGTACTGGAGCTCCATCAGAAGTGCTTGCGTCTATATATAATTTTTTAAAGGCAAAACTGACTTCTGACATAAAACCTACAACTTGATGAGTAGTTTGGGGAAGTCAGTGGGAAACAGCTCATCATCAGCTTCTTTGACGTAGAGAATACGGGACAGGAGATGAAATGAGTGGGAGCTTAATGTGAACAAAGTGACTCCCTTTCTTAATGGGGTCCATCTTCTTTAAACAAACCATTGCCGTCAAGCGGTCTTTGTGTACAAGATGATGCTTGGGAGCCCTCCTGAGGCTTCTACGTCTTTGTCAAAGAGGTCTTTCCCTCTTGATGTGTTTTTTTTTGTGGGTGCCGTCAACAAAGATCTTATTTTCATGAAACTCGTGCCATTCTGCATGAAATGGGGAAACTCCAGCCCACCATTAACAGAGTGAAGAGCTTGTTCTCTGTCCTCAAGAGTGTTGGGAGAAAACACCTCTGTGTCCGAGCGGAGCCGGTCCCTCCCTCCCTGCTGCTGCGGAGAGTTCTCTCCACACAATCATCTCACTTAACCTCTTTGTTTAATATTTTTAATGACGACTTTGGTCTGTGGATATTCGTAACATTAACATAATTATCTATCTTAACATACTGTATTTGCCGCCTGCTGGGGATGAAACACTGAAACTAACACTAGTAGCTCATTAACAATAATGCTGCTAGCTCATTAACAATGTTGACCCAATTACATGTTGTGTGTCCCAGAGACAAATAACTGTAATTGCAACTCAAAAGTGATTTCATAAACACTGAGATTCTTTTTGAAATGCAAAGTAGGGTGCATTATTTGAATTTTTGGTATAAATATGGGTTTAAATTAAATAGAGCCAATCATCCCACTAAAACAAAATTTCCGTCCATGTAGACATCCTTCAAAAAGGCCTTTTGCGGTGAATTGATCCACGGCGCATCTTGTTCTGCAGGATCAAACCATTTTCATTTCTCTGCAAAAATTATCCCAGTTATAGACAACAAAAGCCAGACATCTGGTAACTGGCAGCCACTCTGGCTATCAGCAGGTAGCAGTTTTCTTTTGAAACCATTCGGATTATGTGGCGCACCCCGGACAATAGGAATCTGATGAAGCCTTTGATATAATCTGTTGAGTTGTTGTTTTTTTTTTTTTTTTTAAAGCTGCCTGGATGAAACAGAGCTAAAGAGATTTGCAGGAGATGATGCCCGCGAGCTGCATGTGCAACGCTGTGCGTGGGACTGGCTGCCATGTGGTATACTGTGAGTGGAAGGGAATGGCTGTGAGTGGGGAAAATGTCTAATACAATAGTAGTGGGGCATATGGATCAGAGTTTTGACTACTTGTTTCCTTCCCAGAGGCTGGCATGGGACACGTTAAAGGATGCTGGGGTTCACAGAATCATAGACTCATGGGACTGTTTGGTTTGGAAGGGACCTACGAAATTCATCCAGTCCAACCACCTGCAATGAGCAGGGACATCTTCAACTAGGTCAGGTTGCTCAGGACCACATCCAGCTTGGGATGTCTCTAGGGATGTGCATGCACCACCTCTCCAGGCAACTTGTGCTGGTGTTTTACCACCCTTGTTGTAAAGAATTCCTTACTCATGAAGAGGAGTGAGAGAGCAAGGAGAACCCAGGTGCCATGGGATTGAGCTGAAGCTGGTGAGGGTGATTTCCCTCCCTTGGTGTGCTGATGTCCTGTGGCAATGCCCCTTGCTACTATTGCTCTCTTATGAATGCTTTCTTTGTAACTAATGTTTTATGTTTCAGGTTACTAATCCTTGATAGAGGGATAAGGTGGACTCTTTTCAGGTTGCTTGTTCATGCCTGTTGCATCCCCAGTGGATCTGCACACTCAGCCATCCCTGCAGGCACTCTCTTTTCTGGAAGTGGGATGGAGTCAGTTTGTGTTGTGGACAAATTTCACTGAAGAAAAACACTCTGAGAAAAATAAAATGCTCTTATTTACAGGACCAAACCAAAAATATTTTTTTTTCTCTTTGTATATAACAAGAGGTCTGTTGAAAGCAGATACTTCGTGTTGCAGAGGAGCAACTAATGCTCAGGCTCAGAAGCACGCGTTTCCTAGAGTTACTTGCCCACAGGCTTCTATACTGCCTCCATGGTTCGGGCCAGTTTGTGGCATTGGACCAGTTTCCTTTTTGCAGGATATTCCCTTCTGTAGCTTGTACAGTCCCTGCAGGAAGAAGGCATGGAGAATCACAAAATCATGGACTCATGGAATGGTTTGGGTTCTCAAACCATTGGAACTCATCCATTTCCAACCTCCTGCCACAGGCAGGGATACCACTAGGGCAGGTTGCTCCAAGCCCCTGTGTCCAACCTGGCCTTAAACACTGCCAGGGATGGGGCAGCCACAGCTTCTCTGGGCACCCTGTGCCAGCACCTCAGCACCCTCATTGTAAAGAACTTCTTCCTTATATCTAATCTAAATCTCCCCTGTTTATGTTTAAACCCATTCCCCTTGTACTGTTGCTACAATATGTCCCTGATGAAGAGTCCCCCTCCAACATCCCTGTAACCCCCTTCAGACACTGGAAGTCGCTCTGAGATCTGCACACAGCTTCCCCTCTTCGGGCTGAACAGCCCCAAGTTTCCCAACTGTCAAGACTAAGAAATAATAATTTCATCTTCAAGGCAAACAGAGGATGGGTAGGGAAGGTGACAGGCACTTTGGGACATGGGGCTTTTCACCAATGTGATGCCTTGTCCTCTACTGGTTGTGCTTCTCCCTCAGCACTGCCATTTACTGATGGAGCGACATTTACTTTAGAAAGTAACTTCAGTGCCTCTGCCACAATATTGAATGATGTTAGCAAGATGGCTAGGAATGGATTTTTAAACTTGAAAGGAGATGATAACCTTGTCACATGATATGCCAGATGATGGGTAAATTGAAACTTCTCATCATTACTGAAAACAGCTACTACAGCCTACCCAGGATTTTCAGCATGACAGGGCTCATTTACTTCATATTTTAAACATTAAAGACAACAACAGGGGAGGCTGTCATTAAGGTATCAGTGAATCAAACCATTGAATGAAGTATGTGTTCACCAGCAAGGAGTTAGCTGATCCTTAAAGTCAGAGTAGCTTAGAGGTGAAGGTGGTTGAAATTATAGCATTTATGTGCAGTGATATCATTAGGAACTGATGTCGTACCAAAAAGGGTGGTCAACTATGTCTACTTGCCTTCATCCCGTTGTCTTGGTTTTGGCTGGGATGGAGTCAGTAGCTGTTACAGTGCTCTGTTTCAGATTTAGGGTGAGAATGATGTTGATTGTACACTGGTTTAGTTGTTGCTGAGCAGGGCTTACACTAAGCCAAGGACTTTCAGTGTCTCATACTGCCCTGCCAGTGAGGAGGCTGGGGGGCACAAGAACATGGGAGGGAACACAGTGAGGACAGGCAGAAGCTCTTCCCTGTGAGGGTGCTGAGGCGCTGGCACAGGGTGCCCAGAGAAGCTGTGGCTGCCCCATCCCTGGCAGTGTTCAAGGCCGGGTTGGACAGAGCCTTCGGTGACATGGTCTAGTGTGAAGTATCCCTACCCATGGCAGGGGGTTGGAACCGGATGATGTTAAGGTTGTTTACAACCTTTAGCATTCTATGATTATATGGTTCTATGCTGTCATTCCATGCCACATGATGTCATGCTCAGCATATAAGCTGGGGGGAAGATGGCAGGGGTCACTGCTTGTAGACTGGCTGGGCTCCATGGAGCCTTCTCTTGTCCAGGCTGACCCAGCCCAGCTCTCTCAGCCTGGCTCCAGAGCAGAGCTGCTCCAGCCCTCGCAGCATCTCCATGGCCTCCTCTAGACTCACTCCAACAGGTCAATGGCCAGACAAGCCCATAAGCCCGTTGACACGGCAAAGACTCCAGTGAGAGTTACAGAGAGAGCAGCCACCATGTGCAGCACCTCCTGGAGCAGGTCCTCAACTGCCCCAGCTGGCTCAGATCTCCCCTTTGAAAAGGTACATTTTTTAAGTCGTGGACACAGATTTTTGCGTGTTCTTTGACTATTTTTACGCACCATGTTAAAGTGAGGTTTCCTCGCAAGCGGCTGAAGCACGTGTTCTTGCTGTCTTCCTATGCTTAGTGAGAGTCTTTGGGGTGGCTGGTGAAGCAAAGGAAGGTTCTTTGTTATAAAAAACAACCTTAAGAACCTCCTGTGTCTTTTGAAATCATTGTTTTGGTGTCTTCACTGGTGGCTGCCAAACACTCTGAGACTGCTTTCACCCATTCCCCGGCTCTTTTGGGATTGGATTTACATTACTGCCAGCTGTAATTGCAGCTGCCTCTGCCCACCCAGCCCTACTCAAAGTTCCTCCCAGGAGAGCTTATTACAGTGAGAGTTCTCATCCTTTGTGGATCTTGAACTGAGATGAAGTACCTGCCCAGCCCAGGGAGAGTATTATTGCCCAGGGAACTGGGGATTTTTAGTTGTTTTTTTCACCAGTTTCCTCTGGTCTCTGAGGAGACAGGAGCCTAACAATACAATATAAGGCTCAGAAGTCCATCATCTGGGGAAATTTTGGGATAACCCTTTTTTCCTCAGATGCTGTTGCACAGACAATGTGATTCATGCCCTAGAAGGATGGCTCCTCCTTGCTCTGTCACGGGGCATATCCCTGTGCTGATGCTTCCAGGATGAAAGATGACAGGAAAGCAGAATGCAGCCCCCCCTCCCTGCACCCCAGGTACCACCCTGGGGGTATGTGCTAGTCCCTCAGGCCATAATCAGCTGCAGCCCAGGAGCTCCCCAGGAAATTGCCTGTGGGCTTATTCAAAAGCTGTGCCAGAGACTGGGTTAATAACTCATCATCAGTACAGCTGGGAGTGTTGCTTCCCATGGCTTCTAATATGCAGGTATGGATGGAGCAGGATGGCTTGCGTACGTGTGGGCATCATTTCCTTGCGTGGGGTGAATGGCTCTGAACCTCAGTGATCCAGAAGCAGCAGTGGAGGGAGCTGGGCTCAGATTCCCATGCCCTGTCGATGCGCTGGGATGAGGAGCAGCTCCTATCTCACTGCATGTATAGGCTTTCCCTTACCCTTAGGAAAGTGCTGCTCTTTCTTTCTGACCTAGAGGGATGGTTCAGCTGGAATTGCTTTGAGTCTGTAGCAATTTAGCAGCACCAGCAACAAGCTGAGTCTGTCGATGAGGCTGCTAGGGCTGAGCTAGCCCGATACAGAGTGATGCACCCTGGCGCTCACTGATCTTGCCGTGATTGGAGAACAGTGGAACTCCAGCCCTGAGCTGGGTTTATTCAGTTTGCTGGCAATATTTCACGATTTGACTGGTTGAAATGTTTCTGAGAGAGAAAGCTCACTGGAGAGCCTGTAAATGGAGCATTGGGGATGTATTCTAAGGGAGAACCTGCCAGGGTGTTCAAGGAAAGCATGGGGAGAGGTTTGAGCTGTTTCTCATTATTGCAGCAATGTGGGATATGGGGCTCCTGACAGGGTTGGGCATTTGATGTTAGCAAAACTGCAAATTGCATTGGTAGCAAATAGGGGTTGTGTGGCATCAAAACCTGACTGTTTTTGCTTAGGCGCCAGGTTTTAGGCTCCAAGTGAAAAATGATGCATGAACTCAGCTGTGATATCTGTGCAAGGAAGGGAAAACCCAAAGGTGTGGGTAGGATGCCACTAGCTGGTCACTGGTTTGCTGCTTTGCCCTCCTGCTATTCACTAGGTAAGAAGGACTTGACTAAAGGGGTGGTTCCTGTTTCATATTGTTAAATGGAACCAGGTGTGGGCTGGGGAAGGTGCCTGGGGCAAGGGCACACCATGCTGTAACAGCGGGCCCTCATCTGGCTGGGCTTTCATCCCATCCTCAGGAAAATGGCAGGTTTTGGATGTAGTGCTTCATCTCCCAGGATTCAAGTGGGCCTGATGCCATACTCCTTAGCTCCAGCCCAGGCTGCAGTCACCGAGAGCCCCTCAAAGCCTGAGGGACTCCCTGGCATCTCTCTTTGCATCTTAGATCCCATTTAACCTGCAGATCCAGGGGTTTCCCAGTGGATCTGATGGGAGGATTTAGCCTTTGGAAATACTCAAGATTGAGATACATAATGCAGTGCTGCTGAAAAGCTGCAAGCATTAGCAGATCAATTATCTATTTCAAAGAACAAGTATGTAAAACCATTGCTGTTCAGCAAGTCTTTCAGCACGTATGCTAATTCCGAGCCTTTATCAGTATAAAGTCTGCAATGCTCTTATGCTCTCCCTGTGTCAATGCTGCCATCAACCTGCACTGCTCAAGTCAAATGGAAACCTAACAGGAACAGGGATGGTTTTACTGGTGTTGTCTTTTTGGGGCTGAAATAGCAAGAGAAAGATTGATTTTTGAGAAAAAAAAAATTAATATCTAGATAAAACTGGGTGTAAGCCTAGGCATAGGAAAAAGTGTTTAACTGTTTGCACTGTGCTGGTAGCATCTCCTGCCTTTTGCAGGTGGGATTTTCTGTGGCAAACCTTCCTGGAAAGCAATGAAAACAAAAAATTAAAGTTAAGATTGTTTAAAAAGTTCCCAACCAACCATGTCAGCAAACGGGAAAGCTCTGTCCCCTTTGCGTAACTCCTGCCATTCACCTGGGGACTCACACTCTTTGCCAGGGCAATCGAGGGAGGAGTGTCTACACTATTAAAAAGGCAGGTATTGATTTACTAATTAGTGCCACTGACAGGACATTGCAGCCCATGCAATCTAATGTGTGGCAGTTGAGTTGCCTCTGAGCTCAATGGCCAGCTGGACTTACTCTGTTTCTCCTCTGCGTCACTGGCACGGTCAGCTTTTATGTATTTGTGTATTATTGCTGGTTTATGAGAGCCTGTCAGAAACGTTGATATCCCAAAGGCAGCTTCACAAACACCAGTTCAGGATGGTGGCAAGCAGGGGACAGGCAGTGATGTGACCGAGTTAGGGGTGGCCCTGGCACCAGCAGCAAGGGGGCTGGCTCCCCGCAAGCTTCACGTGCAGCACATGTGAGCTGACAGCAAAGTGATCTGCTGCCAGTCACTCAGCTCTGATCAGCACTGATGATAACAGAGCGAGCTGGGAGCAAAAGAGGGATTTTCAGAGTTCGCAGTTACTTCAGTAATTTATTACAGTTATTGCAGTCGCTGAGGACTGCAGAGCAGCCCCTGCTGCATGCTCCAGCAGGCAGAAAACCCGGTGAAATAACATATTGGGTAATTTTCTCCTAAATTTGGCTTTTCAGTTGAACAGGGCTAGATGTAGTGGGATGCTGCGGAGGCAGGATCCTTTCCACAGGGCTCAAGGTCCCCAAAGCTGATGTGAAGAGCTGGCTGGTGTGTGTGTACTACACAGCAAGACCAGCAACCATGCTTTTCCTTCAGGGAGAATACATCTGAGATTTATATTATGTGAATAATACACACATACGCTGTCCTTTATTTCCATATATATCGCATGCACATATACTTTATGTATGCTATGAAACACCTCTACTGGTTCCTGTTGGCTCCAGCCCTTTTTACAGACCCTGCAGGTCAGGATTGCCTTTCCCTCAACAGGTTAATTTTATTCTATAACCTTCCCTCTGTCAGAGACCTTCTTGCCATTATGGTGTTTGGGCAAGATTTAGCTAATAATTACCTTCTGTTAGGAAAAATGATTTGGCACAAGAAACCTTCCTTGGCTTCTGCTGGAGAGCTTCTGAGTGAGGCTGCTTTAATATCCACCTCAGAAATTGTCACCATACAACAGCAAGTCTGCACTGGGAAACGGGAAAGGGATTGTGGCTGTAACACCACTAGAAACTAGATTTAGAGTCTATTTTCTCTGTGGGATGAGAAGATAGCTCCAGTTAACAGCCTGAGCTGGATTATATGAACCTTGTCCCTGTGTGGCATTTCTTTTCTAGAGATATGGAGGTAATTCCCTGATCTGGGTAAAGAGCTGTAGTAGGTAATCCACAGGCTTCCCCACCGCTTCCACAGGCATCCATCATACCTGGCTGCTCTTAATGGTAGCTTCATGTGTTACAGACCTGGCCAAAACAAGCTATTCTATCACAGCCTAACAACAGTAACCAAAATATGGCTTTTCCAGCCTTGCATGAAGTCATTTGAAGATTTTTGTCTTCATCCCAGTGAAGTCCATGATTTAATCTGGAAAGCTTGTGATGGTTCGTTGAGTGAAGTGACAGCTCTCCATCCTTCCTGCTGGAGCCAAAGCCAGCCTCTGAGGATGGACTAACAGGGTGAAGAGCTGAGGATTGCAAGCACCTCTGCAGGTTGTCTGGTCCCATCTCTTCTCAAGCAGGATCAGCTACAGCCAGCTGCCCAGGACTGTGTCCAGTTGGATTTTGAACATCTCCAAGGATGGAGACTTCCCAGGCTTTCTGGGTGACCTGCTCCAGTGCTCAGCTATGTCCAGAGTACATCCAGTGTATCCCTGTCTCTTCTGCACTGGGCAGCCCAGACCTGGATCCAGCACTGCAGGTGTGTCTCACCAGTGCTGCACAGGGAGGATGCTCATGTTCATCCCGGTGTCCATGAGCTTCCTAGGTCTTTGTGGATCTGTTTTCCAGCAAATGAGTCCCCTTGGGTACTGGTGCCTGGGGCTGTTGCTCCCATGGAGCAGGACCTGTTGTTTCCCCTTGTTGAACATCACAAAGCTCCTCCTGGCCCATTTCTCCAGCCTGCCCAGGGCCCCCTGAATGGCAGCTTTGAGGTTCCACCACTGCTCTTACCACAAGCACCCTCTTCACTCCTTGCCAAAATAGCCAAGCACTATAGATCTAATAACCTGAAGTCTCATTTCTCATCTTGGCTTTTAACTCATTTTCCCATCATTTCACCAGTTTTTTGTTGTTACATAAGTGGGTGAAGGTCTTATTTACTTCTGTTATCATTATTTTCACTTCCTGTGCCTGTGCAGACTGCTGGTGAGTTTTATTAAAATGCTGTTTGTCAGAGTGTTTAATGCATGTTTGTAAACTGGCTCAGAGATAATTTGCTGTTTGTACTTAATTTTTAATAAGGTGGCTCTCTTCATTATGCTGTCTGCTTGAGACGTTATGTTTAAAAATATCAGCGCTGTGGCCATTGTATTTTAGTTCTCCAACCCATACAGCCCTGCTGACAGCAGCGCTGTTCTGATGCAGACATCTCCTGTGACTGTACATCACCATGTAGCTGGGCCCTTTGGGGTGGACCGTATCCAGAGGGTAAGGTCCACCTTACCCTTGCAGACTGTCACAAGTGGACCTCAGAAATGTCACCTTTGCCACAGATGTTTCTATGAAGGCTTTGGGTTTGATGAACTCTGGTTATCTGTGCAATGGCATGGTCAGAATGTGCTAGACCTCCTGTATCTGTAGCACAGGGGTTGAAACTAGAGGAACTTTAAAGTCCCTTCCAACTCTAACAATTCTGTGATTCTATTTATTTTTAAAAGTCGTAATTCCCAGTTCTCCAAGGGGAGCAAAGTGGAGATGGGATCCTGCACCTTGCCGATACTGTGGATGCTGCTACTTTGCTGAGCTGCAGCTTACCCATCCCACCAATCTGTCCTCACATAAATACCAAACCTCTAAACCCTCCAGCTTGGTCAGGGTGAGGGGCAGCCCTCATGGACCTGCCAACAGCAGCTGCTGGGCAGCAAAGTCATGCTGAAGTGTGTAAACCCCAGCAGAATGGAGCAGTGATGGCACCTCTCTCCCCTGCTCTCTCTTACATTTTGTTTACATTCTTTACAGAGAGGTTTGAATCACAGAATCATAGAATAGTTAGGGTTGGAAAGGACCTTAAGATCATCCAGTTAAAAACCCCCCTGCCATGGGCAGGGACACCTCACACTAAACCATCTCACCCAAGGCTCTGTCCAACCTGGCCTGGAACACCACCAGGGATGGAGCATTGACAGCTTCCTTCGGCAACCCATTCCAGTGCCTCACCACCCTCACAGGAAAGAATTTCTTCCTTAGATCCAATCTAAACTTCCTCTGTTTCAGTTTGAACCCGTTACCCCTTGTCCTGTCACTACAGTCCCTAATGAAGAGTCCCTCCCCAGCATCCCTATAGGCCCCCTTCAGATACTGGAAGGCTGCTCTGAGGTCTCCACGCAGCCTTCTCCAGGCTGAACAGCCCCAACTTTCTCAGCCTGTCTTCATACAGGAGGTGCTCCAGTCCCTGATCATCCTCGTGGCCTCCTCTGGACTTGTTCCAACAGTTCCATGTCCTTTTTATGTTGAGGACACCAGAACTGCACACAATGCTCCAGGTGAGGTCTCACGAGAGCAGAGTAGAGGGGCAGGATCACCTCCTTCGACCTGCTGGTCCCACTTCTTTTGATGCAGCCCAGAATACGGTTGCTTTCTGGGCTGTGAGTGCACACTGAAGCCGGCTCATGTTAAGTTTCTCATCAAAGTCTTCCTGGAGGGCAGGGTCTTTGGGTCTGTGAGTGGGAACCTTCCACATGTAGGAGAAGACCTGCTGGACCTAATGGGGTTTCCCACCATTGGAGCATCATGGAACGAGACTGTGACGTGAAGGTGGGAAGCAGTATGGAGATGCCTGTTTAGAGCCCTTTGATGCCACTTTCATTGCAGATGCATGTACAACATTTAATCCTGGAATATTGACTTACATTTTTATATCATGGCTGTGACAACTGAAACCTGTACTCGGAGAAACCAAGTTTTAAATGCTCCACATTTTCAAAGTCCTTTAAGATGCCAGTGCTTTGCCACAGAGGTCCTGGCTTGTTTTATCAAGCCATTTATTGGAATTGGTCTACTGAGCCCTACTGAGAGCCAGCAAATGCTGGGAATCAATCCCTAACCTTAAATCTCAGCCCATTGCTGAACCTCACTCAGCCTGTCACATTCTCTTTGCATGACACAGTGGTTCTGCCCTTATAACTAAATATTACATGCTTTAATGATTATGCTTTTTTTTTAATTTATATGCAAAATTGATTCTCACAATCAATACCCCTGTGGCTGAGAAGCCTGGGCTGCAAGTGGAGCTTGACTCCAGCTGCAGGAATTTAAATTTCTGCTTCCTGATGAGTATTTGAGCATAAGATGCAACACAGTTGGGTTTTTGTTTCTTATGTATACATAAAAAGGCATGAATTTACTTCTATATCAGGATCTATAGCAAATAGCAACTTTCTTCCAGAACCCAAATGAAGCGGGATTAATCGCACTTGGCTTTTCTCTGGTTTGCTGAAAATGGTGTTTCACTTCAAAGATCCCCTTAAACCTGTTGTAAGTCTGAATGCAACCTCTTACATCAAGGGTAGAGAGCTCCTGGTTCATGATCCAGCTCAGAAGGTTACAGCTGCTGCTGTTAAAGATGCCTCTGCATTTTAATGTCTCTGCATAAATGCCTCTGAATTTTTGCTTTTGGATTGCTGTTAAGGCTGCCCTTCAGTTCTGATGCTGTGCTGAAATAAGAGTGTGAAACGGAAACATAAATAGTGAAAGGCAAAACATCTGTACACATTGCTGCTTGATAGCAGGGAGACATTGAATG